AAAATATTAAAGATAAAACACAACGAAGAAAGAATAAAGCGATGAGTAAAATATCAATAAATGTCTAATAAAATAAATAAAATATGGAGAGATATTTAAAAGGTAATGATGTAAATGAAGAAAAAATTTTGAAGACATTTATTTTATCTTAGTGTTGTGGTGATGGTGATAGTGGTGGTGGTGGTGGTGGTGATGGTGGTGGTTGTTGTAGTTGTGGTGATGGTGATAGTGGTGGTGGTGGTGATTGTTGTTGTTGTGGTGATGGTGATAGTGGTGGTGGTGGTGGTGGTGGTGGTGATTGCTGTTGTTGTTGTTGTGGTGATGGTGATACTAGTGGTGGTGGTGGTTGTTGTTGTGGTGATGGTGATAGTGGTGGTGGTGGTGGTGGTGATTGTTGTTATTGTGATGATGGGTGATAGTGGTGGTGGTGGTGGTGGTGGTAGATTGTTGTTGTTGTGTTGATAGTGGTGGTGGTGGTGGTGGTGGTAGTGATTGTTGTTGTTGTTGTGATGGTGATAGTGGTGGTGGTGGTGGTGGTGATTGTTGTTGTTGTTGTTGTTGTTGTGGTGATGGTGAGAGTGGTGGTGGTGATTGTTGTTGTTGTTGTTGTGGTGGTGAGGGTGATGGTTGTTGTTGTTCTTCTTCTTCTTGTTCTTAATATTGTTGTACTTGTTATTGTTATTGTTGTTATTCAATTACCAAATCATCAACCGTCGTAAAAATCACAACCAGTTATAGACTAAATCACAACTTTTATAACCCCAAATATCTGAAAAAAAATTAACCATTAACCCACAAGATGCTTTAACCCACACTGGTAATAACCCCGCATAGACAATAACACCTTCAGTCAAGTCAGTAGAGGCAGGTATATGAACTGACTTAACACAGGTAATGAAATATATTATAACAGTGAAATATATCGATTTTAATTGACTTTTGTTATTTTATTTATTTTTTATTTATTTTTTTATTATTGTTTTTGTTTTCTATTTTATTTCGTTTGTTTTTGTTTTTGTTTTTTGTTCTATTATTTATTTATGGTTTTATTTTTGTTTTTTAATGATGGATAATTGTATATTTCTTGATGGTAAAAAAGAAAGAAAGAAAGAAAGAAAGAAGGAAAGAAAGAAAGAAAGAACATATAAAACAATCATTAACAACAACAAAAGCAAAAACAAAATTTCAACACAATGCAACTTGGACTCATTCACCCCCCCCCCCCCAGCCACTCCAAACTACAATTAAAGCCGTTTGTAATTGTGACCTTCCTTTAACACTCGTAACGACCCAACCACGGCAGGCGTTTATAGGCGGGGGCTAAACAAACGAGCGTATACGTTGAACCAATCAGCGTTGAGGAAGAGGGGAAGGGGGCGGGACTTAGAACGGATTTCCGGTTTGAGAGACATGTTGGGCTGACTTATATGCGTACACATTTGATATATACGCACACATACGCACTTATATATACTGTAATTACATATATACACCTGTGTACCTATATACATATGCACACTTACGCACATACATATATACGTACATGTGTATTACTATACCCATATACACGGGTATACATGCATATATACATACATTCATACACATACATACTTCATATATACCCACCTATACATAAACATACATACACACACACACACACACACACATACATACACACACACACACATACACACACACACACACGCATACACACACACACACACACACACACATATACATACACACACACACACACACACACATACACACAAGGTTTGTCCGTGTTTGAGTATCTAATCAGCTTCACCATAACACTAATATAAATTTTGAATATTAAACACCCAGCTTATTTCGCGTGAAGATTAACCACCCTAACCTAACCTAACCTAACCTAACCTAACCTAACCTAACCTAACCTAACCATATGTGTGTTGTTGACGGGGGTGTCAGGATCAAGCTGCTGTGGCTCCCCTCTCACATGGGCCTCAGTCAACATGATAGGAGCTGATGCCTTAGCTAAACTCGCGTCCAACAATGACAATGTTGAATATAATCTAGGACTCTCGAACAGAACCCTTAAAACTATAAGCAGAAAAGAATTTGTTGATGAATTTGAAGCCAGTAGACAAGTGCAAACAGGGACTACTCAATCCATTGTTTACTATGATGAGATGTATCAAGTGAAACATGTATATGGAGCAAGTAACAAGATCATTAGATTACAAGATGTTGTAACCGCTAGACTAAGGTTAGGATATAAGTACCTCTGGCAGAATGTTCCTCAGGCAGATGTGAACAAAACTAAATGTAAAGTGTGTGGCCAGACATATGGCCACACACTCCAACACTACGTCTTAGACTGTGAAAAAATAAAACCTTATAGGGGCAGATCCAAGCACACTGTGCATGCAATGTCACAGCACTTTATCTCTGATGACAAGGTAGCTGATATACTAAGGCTGTATCCACACTTGGCATCTAGTACCTAAACAAACTTCTATGTACCGACTTAAACAAACAATGTACTGGCAATACTGTGTAACACTCACCGCCACACTATCCTCACCACTGTGGTCTGATAAACACCCTTGTGGCCTCTACTCTGTAATCCCCTTTGCGCTACCCCTCCAAGAGGAGTATGGGGGTGCACAGTAAACTAGCTGCTGTCAGCGGCAAAATTCAAATTTAAATTCTCTACCCTACCCTACCCTACCCTACCCTGCCCTACCCTACCCTACCCTACCCTACCCTAGATGTTTATATTTACAGATTCCACCCCCAAATTATTATATACACACTCTCCCTTAATATTAATGCTCAGAGTCCCTTAGAAAAAATACACATTGAGAAAAAATATCAAAAGAAACTCCTCATCACCTCCACACACACACACACACACACACACACACAGCCCACAAGTGTACGTGATGTGTCTTTACACCCTCGCTTGGAGCTCTTGAGGGAACGTGACAGGGTGTATGGCTGAGAATAACATTAATGTGTAGAATGTGATGGTATGTAGAGTCAGGTTTTGTGGATGTGTAGATTCCTCAAGGATGTGTGTGTTTGTGTGTGTGTGTGTGTGTGTAAGAAATTAATATATGAGCTGTATAATCACATTCAGTAAACACAAACATCAAGGGACTCTGTAAACACCAAAATTCTACATTAAACACACTATATAACAAATCAACAGACCAACTTAACACCAACAATCATCTTCACTACTAACTAACATTACAACAACAATAACAAAAACACTACAAACAGAATACAAAAAACTTACCATTAAGTCCAGTTCACGTACCAGCTCGATGCGTGTAAATCTAGATCCACACTGTAACACGTACAAAGACAAACTGACACTGACACACACACACACGGAGACAATGTTACCTGGCCGTTCCCTCACACACACACAGGTAAAGACTAACGACCCACCGTATCAATTACCTGTCAGCCGCTCAGGTAAGTCACTTTTTCCCACAAGGTGTATCATGGCAGTAAATTCAATTATTATCAATTAACCTTAGATAATTATGAATATTTCTCATTAAAGAAAAAAATTCCAAATATATTCTCTTGTTAGGATAGTCGAAGGGACAGAGTCAGTGTATGTATGTATGTATGTATGTATGTATGTATGCATGTATGTATGTATGTATGTATGTATGTATGTATGCATTTAGTGCTTATTATTATTATATATACTGTTCAAGGTATAGGACTCGTAACGTAAGCAATATATGGCAGCATATATGTCCTCACTCATATATCCTCGTTATAAAGACTCAATTTGGAGTGTATTATTAAGTTAAAATAACGATAAATCACGGATATTAACATAGAAACAAAATTTAATAAACTATAATATAACAATTTAGATTAACTAGAGCTATTTAACACAATATAATATTATATTTACATATTTTCATAGTTTAAATAATTTCCCACTCATAAAAATAAGAATAATATCAATAAAACTCAATAGTAATAAATTAAAATTAAAATAAGGATGATAGATAGGTATTTAATTTTGTTTAGGTAGTTAGAAAATATACCAGGTAGTTTAGGTGTTGACTAGCGCGGGGAATACATCGAGGCTACAGCGATACAACATAACTACAAAAATTCGGTTCGTTTCTCCGGCTTGAATCACGAGCCCCTAACATTTAGATATATGAATCCGAAGACATTTATGGGTACTGCTTCGGGTTCACGAGTTCGAATCTTAAGGTTCGTGGCTCAAAGGGAGGGGTGAATATGCTTTAGTATTTGACTGTATACATATTACTATAATTATCAATATTATTTCAATATTACTAATTCCATAAACTTAACCTAACCAACATTAATTGTACTTATAGATGAAATACAGTTGCGGGAATACAAGGCTATACTGCTCCGTTTTCCTCAGTGACTGCAAACGTCCGTAAATTGGGCCGTACAGTATCGCAGCGTCCGTGTACGTATATAGGTTAACTGGACGTGGATTGGATTAGCGGCCCGTGATCTGTGTGGCTGGGTTGATTATTATATGGCCAGGGGATTGATTATATGGGTTGATTATTATATGGCCAGGGGATTGATTATATGGCCAGGGGATTGATTATATGGCCAGGGGATTGATTATATGGCCAGGGGATTGATTATATGGCCAGGGGGTTGATTATATGGCCAGGGGGTTGATTATATGGCCAGTTGAACAATTATATATAGCCATCAAGTAAATAATCCGTTTTAATTCATTATTGAGTGAGAAATAATTTGTATTTTCTTAAACATTTATGCCATTTATTTCACTTGTAATAAAACTCAGTAAAACGTAATGAAAAAAAAAAGTTCAATATTTAATCTTTTAGGGAAATTTATGAATATTTTTTTATGATTCATTTACTTAATTTCTTATTTATTCTTGTGGTATTTGATTTCGATTTTATAACCAAAGGAATAACTTAGAGATAATAGATAGGGAAATAAATTAACCTGAAACTTTAATAAAATATAGATACAATAGGCCTATATATATATCACTGGAATCAAATTATACATATATTGATAAAAATAACATTGACAATTATAAATACTGAATACCATAGGCCTAAAAATATCTATAAAAAAACTACAGTACATCTATTATTTAAGAACACTTACATAGAGTTTACATAGAGAAGGCCTATATTAAGATACATTAGGCCTAAAAGTACATATTAATACCAAATACACTAATTACAGTAATATTGAAATTTATACCATAACTACCACTCCAGGTTACAAAATACCGTAATTATATAACGTTGAATGTATAGCTTATTCATTATAGGGGATTATAGATGATATATAAGGGATATAATTGATATATTTCTCAGTTGATATATTTATAAGATATACCGTTTATAGAGCTAAGTTCTGTATATAAGCCTTAGAGCTTATGGTAGTTAAACACTATTCTGGTTGTCGTTCTCCTTCTACCGTAATAATCCCACAACTTAGATTCCACGACGCAACCATTTCAATGACTTGTTTCTTTTGACCTTTTCATCAAATATTTTTATTATTATTATATTTTTTTATCATCAATTTCGTTTATATTTATATTTAGAGAAGGATTTTTTTTTTTATTATTATTTAAAGATTTTATTTTTATTTGGATATTATTTAGTAAGTTTTTTTTTATTCTGGTTTATTGTAGGATATTATGGGATGTTGTAGGGTGTTGGAGGTTGTTGGATGATGTTGTAGGATGCTGAAGGATGTCTCATGTTGGCGTAGGATCTTGCAGGTTTTCGTAGGATCTCGCAGGATGTCGTAAGGTGTCGTAGGATGCAATTTACCCTCGAAGAATTGAGACTCTCCCAAAGAGCACGGTATGAAGTTCCTACGGTCCTTGCCACGTAGGAACTCTATACCTCGCTAACCGGGGAGCCGTCATAGGGCAAAATAGGATGTCGTAGGATGTCGTAGGATATCTTAGGATGTCATAGGAGGTCTCAGAATATTGCAACATGTCGTATGCTTTCGTAGGATCTTGTAGGATGCAGCAGGATGTCGTAGGCTCTCGTGGGCTCTCGCAGGATGTCGTAGGATGCCGTAGGATGCCGTAGGATGCCGTAGGATCGATCAGGTGCTGAAGTGATGACAAATTGCAAGCATCAGGAGGAGCAACAGAAGATGAGGAAGTTGCAAGCAAGAACAGGAAGACTAATACTGAACTCTTAAGGTAAATAATTCATACATGTTATTGAGAAAAATACAACACTAAGTAGAGAGGAAATACAACACTAAGTAGAGAGGAAATACAACACTAAGTAGAGAGGAAATACAACACTAAGTAGAGAGGAAATACAACACTAAGTAGAGAGGAAATACAACACTAAGTAGAGAGGAAATACAACACTAAGTAGAGAGGAAATACAACACTAAGTAGAGAGGAAATACAACACTAAGTAGAGAGGAAATACAACACTAAGTAGAGAGGAAATACAACACTAAGTAGAGAGGAGTGAGGAAATACAACACTAGTAGAGAGAAATACAACACTAAGTAGAGAGAAATGAGGAGAATACAACAAGTAGAGAGGAAATACAACACTAAGTAGAGAAATACAACACTAAGTAGAGAGAAATACAACACAAGTAGAGAGGAAATACAACACTAAGTAGAGAGGAAATACAACACTAAGTAGAGAGGAAATACAACACTAAGTAGAGAGGAAATACAACACTAAGTAGAGAGGAAATACAACACTAAGTAGAGAGGAAATACAACACTTAGTAGAGAGGAAATACAACACTAAGTAGAGAGGAAATACAACACTTAGTAGAGAGGAAATACAACACTAAGTAGAGAGGAAATACAACACTAAGTAGAGAGGAAATACAACACTTAGTAGAGAGGAAATACAACACTAAGTAGAGAGGAAATACAACACTAAATAGAGAGGAAATACAACACTAAGTAGAGAGGAAATACAACACTTAGTAGAGAGGAAATACAACACTAAGTAGAGGGGAAATACAACACTTAGTAGAGAGGAAATACAACACTAAGTAGAGAGGAAATACAACACTAAGTAGAGAGGAAATACAACACATATATGACTTGAAGACATAGATAATAGTGAAACAGAACATATTGTATACGTCATAGACAAAAATTATACATACAGACATGAATGAATAAAATACATACACGACATAAAGGAAAAATACGTACATAACAACAAAAACACACATAACAAAAATACATACATAACAAAAATACATACATAACAAAAATACATACATAACACTAAAATACACACACACACACACACACACACACACACACACACACGAACGTAAACAAAGCAAACGAGAACACAGGTAAAACAGATGAATTACCCAAGTCACCCAACAGGTAGACCTTACTGCAGCGGACTCATTAACAGGTAAGATGGTGTGTTGACCAATCCCATCAGAGTAAAGACATGTAAGATACGTCATCACATAAATTATCATAAACATTGTGAATAGTTATTATACATACTATATAAATTCATATAAAAACATTCGTATATATATGGTTATGTTTGATATTGATTTATATTAGTTATATAAATAGGTAGATATATTGAAATCTATATAAACAAAATTATTCAGCTATTTGTATAAAATATAATGAATAAGTGACGTCAGATATATGTTTAGGTAAATATATAAATTAATTGGAATAGTTTCATGTACACCAGTTACACCATAGTGACACCATACCAGTCACACCACAGTCACACCACCAACAACAACCACCACCACAACTACAACCACACCACCAACAACCACCACCACCACACCCCACACCACCAACAACCACCACCACCACACCCAACCACACCACCAACAACCACCACAACAACTACAACCACACCACCAACAACCACCACCGCCACCACACCCCACACCCCCAACAACAACCACCACCTTAACCACATCACCTCACCACCACAATAGCCACACCACCAACACAACCACACCACCATAAGAACCACCACCATAACCACTCAACCACACAACCAAACCCAAGAGACGGACTATATAGAGATGAAAGTCCGTTATATCAAGGGTCCGTTAGCTATAAAACCCTTCATTTAACGGATTATATAGAGAGAATTCGTTATATGGAGGATAAACTGTACGTGTTGGTTGAATGTGATGGAGAATTAGGATGAGAAAAGTTGTTATATGTAAAATGTACTCTGGGTTATAATTACTCATAACCTAACCTAACCTAACCTACCACGACCCACCATAACCCACCACGACCCACCATAACCCACTACAACCCACCACAACGACGCACCATAACCCACCACCACGACCCACCACCACTGAAGAATACACCGTCTTAGATATAAGCCAGTATAAACATTTTATGTATTTATGTAGAACAGATGCAAATAATCTCTCTCTCTCTCTCTCTCTCTCTCTCTCTCTCTCTCTCTCCCTCTCTCTCTCTCTCTGTAACCCACCACCACCTACCACCACCACCTACCCACCACCACCACCACTACCACCACCACCACCACTACCACCACCACCACCACTACCTACCACCACCACCACTGCACCCACCACCACCACACCACCCACCACCACCACCACCACCACCACCACCACCACCACCACACCACCACCACCACCACCACCACCACCACCACCACCACACAGGTGTCGCCATTTTCTGAAAGACACAACCTGAGAAGGAAAACGGTTCCTCAAGATAAACCAAAAAAAAAATAGACAAAATCTCCAAATTCTTTACCTATAAACATTCCCTTAAAGGTTAATGATATATATAAACACCTGAATATATATTACCTATTATATATCACCGTCATATAACAGATATATTTTTCCCCTTGGTTAATATATATCGTTATATTATTTCCCATCGCTATATATATATAAATAAAATATATACAAATTTCAATAGCTATATAAACTGGTGTCTCTCTCATATGTGTATAAACACTGCTGTTGACATAAAGACGTATATATATTTTTGTCTCATTGTTGGAGCTTCATTTTACAAGAGGTAATGGGGTGTGAAACTAGTCTTATATGACCTGAGATGGGGAGAGGGAGGTGGGGAGGGAGAGGGTGGAGTGGGGAAGGAAGGAGGTGGAGAGGGGGGAGTGGAGTGGGGAAAGGAAGGTGGAGAGAAATGGTGGGGAGAAAGTGAGGAGGAGAGGGTGGAGTGGGGAAAGAAAGGAGAGTGGAGAGAGAAATTATGGGTGGGGAGAAGGAAGGAGAAATAGGAGGGTGGGGAAGGAAGGGTAGGGTTGGGAGGAAGAGGAGAGGGAATAAATAGGGAAAGAAAAGAGGGGGGGAAGGATGGGGAGGCATCTTTCATTGAAAAGTGCACCCCTCTTCAGAATATCATGACTATGCGTAAAATAATGGCGGATAGCGAGGGAAGGGGGAGAGGGAAGAGGGAGTGGGAGGGGAGGGGGAGAGGAGGGGGAGAGGGAAGGGGGGGAGGAGGAGGTATAATTTCAGAGGCAGTGAGGGAGGAGGCTGATTTGGAGGGATAAATAGGAGAGAGGGGAAGAGATGAGGGAGGGAGGGAGAGAGAGAGGAAGGGAGAGAGGGAGAAAGGAGGGAGGTAAGTGGATAAATAACAATACTGACAACAACAACTTAACCCTAACCTAACCCTAACCTAACCCTAACCTGACCCTAACCTAACCCTAACCTAACCCTAACCCTAACCTAACGTAACCTAACCAGCGTCTCCTCCAAGAATCAGGTGGAAGCCCATTGGTTAAGACGCTGTGTTGAAAGAAAAAGAGAAAAAAATATACTGCTCGATGATTGGTCACCTGGCAGCCCGAAGCCACGCCCAACTCTGACGTAATGAATATTTTGTTTACCTTTTGTGTCTAAGAACCGACGTGTTCCAGACGTGATTCAGACATCTATCGGCGATAACTAGTTCACTTCCGGTCATTAACGAGGTCATTTGGTAGAGTTCCTGTTATCTATCTATCTATCTATCTATCTATTCATTATCCCAAGGACTATAATTATTATCACCATTACTTAGTTCTACGTTTATCAATTCCTTTACACACACACACACACACACACACACACACACACACACACACACACACACACCTCCCAATTATCTTTTTATAACAGTAACTCATAAATCAACACACAGAGAACAATAATTACCTATAATCACAACTGTTATCGCGAGGAACAATTTATATAATTTGTTTATATAATGTATATTACCTGAGCCTGTTATCTTGTGACAGCTCAGGTGAAATTACTAGAGAAACAGGTAAGTAATTAATCACTCCTCCGATACTTAATGTAGTCCAGGTAGAGAGAGAGAGAGTTCCTGATATTCTAACATCACCCTTAACTGTATTTTAATCCCCTCCCATCTCAGGTCAATAATGCCCCCCCAAGGAGTCAGGTCAGCTGGAGGTTATTTAGGGGTCAGGCAAATTAAAAGGCTGACCCATGGCGGCTTCTGACATATCATCATCACTGTCAGCTGTCAGCACAAATTTAGACTCAGCAACTTACATCATACCTTCGTTATCATACCTGTATTATTCATGATCTAACCTAACCTAACCTAACCTAACAAAACCAAACCAAACCTAACCTTTAAAGTGATCACCATATGGCAACAGTTTCAATATAATCCCTAAGAGCCTTCCTAACCCCTCAAGATAGTGCTAAACCATCCTCATTCATAAGGTCGAAAGCCAGGTACAGAAACAACTGCCTAATGGACCCTAGAGTATTGTGGTAGTTACCTGAGTGTGGCGCTGGGTTGTTAGGTGCCATGAGCCAAGTAGAATGCACATCTGACCTAACCATCGTGTGACCTGGAATTAAAATCATGTTATTAGTTAAGTTTTTATGGGGATTAATTAGCTATGTTATGGAGTGTGTGTGTGTGTGTGTGTGTGTGTGTGTGTGTGTGTGTGTGTGTGTGTGTGTCCAATATAACTGTTTTATATTTCAACTCCAATATACCTGAAAATATACCTTAATTAAAAACAATATAAAACACTCAAATATATCATATATCCTTAAATAATATCTCTAACATATAACCAACATCTAAAATATAACCACAAACAAAAGATATACTCAATATATCCAAATATACCAAACACACATGGAACCTTAATTAAGAATATACATTAAAATATACTCAAACTTCTATATATTGTCAATAATTATACCAGAATATAACATTAGTACAGGAACTCAGTATATCAGCTAAATATGATATAATTAAGCAATAGGTATTTCTACATATATACTGTGGTTATACTATATATATATACCAATATACCCCTGGTGGACGGACTCGGTACATGAGCTATATATATATGGTATAATTAAATCTGTCTTCTCCATCTGTGTAAACAAACATACGTCATAACCGAGACTTCAGGGGTAACTTAACCTACCGAGCAGCTGACTCTCCCTAGCGTAGAGGGGGTGAGAGAGAGGGGAGGGTAAGGAAGAAGAGGAGTAGGGGAGGTAGGGGAGGGGAAGGAGGAGGGGAAGGGGGGGAGAGGGAAGGAGGAGGGGAAGGGAAGGGCGGAGAGGAGGGGAGAGGGAAGGAAAGATGGAGGAGAGAAGGAGAAAGAGAGATATAAGGAAGGAGAGAAGGAGAGGAGAAGTAAGGAAGGGTAGGGAAAGGTAAGGAGGAAAAGGAGAGAAAATGGAAAAAGGAAAGGGGAGATACGGGAAGGAGAAGGAAGCAAAAAGGGGGGGGGAGGAGGAGAGAAAAGAGGGTAAAATTTTCCAATATTTAACGAATGTTTATGTCGACAACATACCTCTTTCACCTGTAATTAACACTACTACTACTACTACTACTACTACTACTATCAACACTATTGCCACCACCACTTACCACCACTATTACCACCACATTCCTAACTATACAAGCACCAACAGGATATAACACCAACCACCACTACCAACCACCATTACCACCATCAACCACCACTACCACCACCAACCACCATTACCACCACCAACCACCATCAACCACCAGCACCACCACCAAACCACCATTTCCACTCACCACCATCAACCACCATTAACCACCAACCACCATTACCACCATCAACCACCATACCACCAATTAAACCACCACCACCACCACCATTACCACCACCAACCACCATTACCACCACCAACCACCATTACCACATCAACCACCAGCACCACCAGCAGATGACGCGCTAACCTGGGGTGTCTCCCAGCAAGCAGAAGTTTTGATGTAAAGTTTTAACCATTTCAGGATTATGCAAACTGTATATTTATGTAAATCCGTCTCAGATTCCCTCTGCTAGACGCGATTTTGTCTCTTTCCCGCAATCTTGTAATGGAGACGACATCAGCCCCCCCCCACTGTACCCATTCGCGGCCTTAACATATTGTGTATCATAATAGATTAGAGTGGGGGTAAGGGGGGAAGGTGGTGGGGAGATGGAGTAGGGGTAGGTGACGTGGGGAAGAGTAGAATGTGGGTGAGGGCAGTGTGGAGAAGGTGAGGAAAATGGGTGGGGGGTGAAGTGGAAAGGGGATGGGGAAGAGGGGGGGGGTGGGGGAGGAAGGGGGGGGAGGCAAAATATATTCCGACACAGAGTATAACATCAAAAAACTTCCAGCATACACAGAGACATACTCGACAGCATACAGAGTGTTCCCTGGCTTGTGTGTGTGTGTGTGTGTGTGTGTGTGTGTGTGTGTGTGTGTGTGTGTGGACGTTCATGAGGACACACGCCACAGACTTATAAGCAAGGGGAGGGTGGGGAGAGGGAGGAGAGAGTAGGGAGGTGAGGAGGAGGGAAGGAGGGAGAGCGTGAGGAGAGGTGTTGGAGGAGAGTGGGTTGACAGCTTCACACACACACACAGATGTTAGCAGCATCTTGCAGCATCTTGAGTCGCTATATACATCCTCCTCTCCCCTCCCCCTTCTCCTCTTCCTCCTCACCCTCCCTCTCTCCCCACTCTTCTCCTCCTCCTCCCTCTTTCCACACCCCCCTCCCCTGTGTGTGTGTGTGTGTGTGTGTGTGTGTGTGTGTGTGTGTATTATCCTATAGGAGTACGTGTTATGTTCTTTCTCTCTCTCTCTCTCTCTCTCTCTCTCTCTCTCTCTCTCTCTCTCTCTCTCTCTCTCTCAATTACCTAACACTATAACAAACAAAACTATTAATTAACATAAATATTTAAGGACAAGAACAATAACAAAAACATTCAAAAACAAAACAAACACACAATTCGGCTTTGATCAAAACTATCGAAACTAAACAATAAGGCTTTTGTTATACAGCCGACAGCCGGAGAACGATTTATCTCGGCTTATTTGACCGTCAACACCCTGATGTGACGTCACTGTAAACAAAAACTATGATTGGTCTATTTATGTTGGACTATCCTGTATAGAAGTAGTGATTGGTCCATTTATATGACGTCATTCCATTACGTCACGGCTGAAGCAAAGAATCATTCATATTGGCTGGAAAATTACCAACAGACAAAATCATTTTAACCCAAACAACGTAAAGTTCACCTGAGTTAACCCCTCTGATAACACCTTCACGTAGTCTAAGTCAACGGATGAAAATTTCAGAATAACGCGACATTAATGACATAAGCTGTCAGCCCTATGAAGCACAGTGACGTCATCTAAAAATAAGCCAATCAGAATGTCGGAAACCAAACAGTCTTCATAAATCACTTAAAACGAGCGAGTGAGGTAAATCTCTCTCTCTCTCTCTCTCTCTCTCTCTCTCTCTCTCTCTCTCTCTCTCTCTCTCTATCCCGTTGTTGTTTATATCAACCTAACCTAACCACATGACTTGTAAATAAAATATGGGAGGAAGGAAGGAAGGAAGGAAGGAAGGTAACATATTTCCATCTTATTGACAGGCCCACACCTAGTGCCACCTGATTGAAATCCTAAATCCTTACACCTGTCCACCTCGTCTCTCAACCAACACCTGATTACCACTCCTATACACCCCTCCCCCCCCACCTAACCTCTCCGTGGCCTCCTAATCACCATCCATAACTACACCACCATCCACCAATGACATCGCTCGTTAGTCAAATCACCCATGAGAAGGAAATATGTAAATAAATACGGAAATGGCCTCCTCCTCCTCCTCCTCTTCTCCTTCCTCCTCCTCTTCTTCTTCTTCCTCCTCCTCCTCCTCCTCTTCTTCATCCTCTCCTTCCTCCTCCTCCTCTTCCTCCTCCTCCTCTTCTTCTTCCTCCTCCTCCTCCTCCTCCTCCTCCTCTCCCTCTCTCCTCCTCTCCTCCTCTTCCTCTTCCTCCTCCTCTTCTTCTTCTTCTCTTCTTCATCCCCTCCTCTTCCTCCTCTTCTTCATCCCCTCCTCTTCCCCTCCTCCTCCTCTTCCTCCTCCTCCCTCTTCTTCTTCCTCCTCCTCCTCCTCCTCTTCTTCTTCCTCCTCCTCCTCCTCCTCCCTCTTCTTCTTCCTCTTCCTCCTCCTCTTCTTCTTCTTCCTCTTCTTCATCCCCTCCTCTTCCTCCTCTTCTTCATCCCCTCCTCTTCCTCCTCCTCCTCTTCTTCCTTCTTCTCTTCTTCCTCCTCCTCCTCTTCTTCTTCCTCCTCCTCTTCTTCTTCCTCTTCTTCATCCCTCCTCTTCCTCCTCTTCTTCATCCCCTCCTCTTCCTCCTCCTCCTCTTCCTTCTTCTCCTCCTCCTCCTCTTCTTCTTCCTCTTCCTCCTCCTCTTCTTCTTCTTCCTCTTCTTCATCCCCTCCTCTTCCTCCTCTTCTTCATCCCCTCCTCCTCCTCCCCCTCCTTCTTCCCACACGTCTTGGGAGGCGGGCTTGGCTACACACACACACAACTTAATAATGTTTTCAGCATTTGTCACTATGAAGGAGGGAGAGAGTGATGGAGAAAGAGAGGGAGGGAGAAAAAGAGGGAGAGAGTGAGGGAGAAAGAGAGGGAGAGAGTGAGGGAGGGAAGAGGAAGGGGAGAGAGCAGAAGAAGAAGCTTATATTCCACAGATCATCCAATGAACTTTTTAACCCTTAATAAGTCTACACACAAGGGCTATAGTTCCTCTCCTCCTTGACAGGTAAGTGACGGAAGGAACACACTGTAGTTGTAATACCTGTCAAATTCTTACGTCATTCCGTCAGGTGAAGGAAACAGTGTACATGCAACCTGCCACACACACACACACACACACACACACACACACACACACACACACACACACACACACATACACATGACGTCACCCCTACATACCCCTTTTGTTTGTTTGTTTAGTTTTTTAGTTTTTTTGTTTTTGTTTTTTTATTGTTTATTCGATTGTTTTCTTTGTTTTTTTGTTTGGATATATTGTGTGTTTGTGTGTTTGTTTGTTTGTTTGTTTGTTTTGTTTGTTTACCCGAGACGACAACTTGAGGATGGAGTAAAGTATTGGATAACGTGTAGCTCTTATGATGATGCTGTGATGACTGTCTGGGTATGTGTTGCCATCTGTGTTTGTGTGTTTGTGTGTTTGTGTGTTTGTCGGTATATCTTGTCATATATGTAGTGTTTTTGTCTTGATCTGACACTCTGCACCAGTGGCCTTGTGTGTGTGTGTGTGTGTGTGTATGTGTATGTGTGTGTGCGTGTGTGTGTGTGTATGTGTATGTGTGTGTGTGCGTGTGTGTGCGTGTGTGTGTGTACAATAATGCAGGAATATAAACATCTATGTACACACGCACACATACACACACACAAACACCGTACATACCTCAGTGTCCAAAATCACATTCAATATTGAAAGGTGCATTGAGTGAGTCTTCCCCACACCTACCTCCCCCACCTCC